TTTTTTTTTTTCAATAAAAAAATTATATAAAAAAAATAAAAATAAAATAAAATAAAATAAAATGTTGGCTACAATGCCAAAATAAGCAATTCAACACAATGTATTTTAAAGCAGATCACATTAACAAGTGGCTGTTTTTAAACATGTGCACTAAACTTAATGTCCTCGACCCCAAACCTCTCAATACATGGTAATCAGAAGACGTGAATTCTCACTTGCACCATGGAAGTTCAGACATCCCCATGGCCTACACACATGGCTATGGCATGGGAGGCACACGAGCTTTCAGAGCTATCATAGTACAATCATGGCTGTGAGGCTGGATGCCTCCCATCTACAGCAGCATCGTCATACCTCCCGAGTTCAGGTACCGCTTTCCAATGTGCACGACAGGGTACTTGTCTGCCAGCCGCTTATCTGGCCACAGAATCCCATCGGCTGCGAAGACAATTTTGTGATTTGTCTTTTGAAACTTTTTCAGGACTTCTTCAGGCCCACCAGCAAATATAACATCAAAGCTGTTAAAAAAAAAAAAAAAAAAAAAAAGCTTTAGAATGCATGGTTCAGAATTTTAAACACACAAGGAAGAAAAAATCCCAAAAAAGAGAATTTAGAATCCACACAGGATTAACTTAGCTGATTAGAGAACAAGTCAGACACCCTCCTCACACCTCACATCATAAACCACATTAGATTTTGGTTTTACTCTATATTGACAAATGAAATACAAATATGTGATATTTTTCATATAGATAATAATTTATCTCCAAAATAAAAATTGTAAGTCAGTGTGCAAGTGTTAAGATTCATATAAATTGTAGGCACAGGCATAAACACTTATAAAAGTTTCCATCTTAAGAGTCAAATATTTCAGTGACATGTATACCAATCCACCATTATCTCTGAAAACTGGTTTAGATAAATATCTCACACTGGCATCAGCATAGACTATGTAATATGGACTCTTCATCAGATAATTCATCTTTTTAAAGCTCCATAAATTTGAATCAAGGTTAAAATTAATGAAATAATTTAAGGTCTAATGTTTTCCCAGTTTTTTCCCCCTGGACTTTATTTGTTCCAAGCTAATTCACTGAATCACAACCCAACAGAAAATTAACTGCGAAAACCATTATGAGAAACGTAAACTCTCCGAAGAAAGTCCCAGCTTATTACAACGTCAAATTTGTCTGTATTTGTTTTTACACCAGTGTACCTGAAATCCAAATGCCTGCAGGACACTAAGATAATCTTATTCTAGGCAGCCAAAGCGAAGGGCAAGCTCATACACTTGGATCTGCAAAGGACTCCTTAGTAGCTAACACTGCAGATGCACTATTAGAACCCGTTAGGAAGACACAGCTACTCTATCTGTGCGCTCCAGCTGTATTCACTGGATATGCACATGTAAGACTTAGTAATTTCTAGTTCAAATTGTTGCTTATCTCTATGACATATTTTTAAAGCCAAAAAAATATTTGAGGTAACTTTTAACAAAAATACTGTAAGTTTCTGTTCTCCACTAGGCTCTTGGCAGACACAATATCTGTCCCTTTAATAATGGCACCGTTCACGTAAGTTGAACACAAGCAATCTCTAGTCGAAAGTAGTGCGAAGGAAGACATGCCACATGACTCGCTCTGTCTAGCAGTGTGACGGAACTAGGACATCACCGGCAGGTCCTGTCCTTTATAAAGGACACTGTCAGCACTGCTCTGCTCTTTCCTCTGCACAGGGTGCTTACTAGTTAAAGCACGTACTTTACAATATAGACCAGCGAACTCAAAGATGAGTAAAAACTGCACAACTAAATTCTGTAATTCTGTTAAACAAAATTAATATCTACTAATTTATTTTGAGACGAGTCTCACAATATATCCCAGAATGACCCAAGCTTGAAATCCTCCTAGCTCCACCCCAAGGGCTGAAATTACTCATACAATCCACGATTCTTGACATCTCCCTTTTTAATAAAAACATTGCTAAAAGCAATGTTGACATCAGCTAATTTCTTACCTGTGATCTAGAAAATTGAAATTTTATCAGTTACTTTTATTTCTACTATGAATTATTGCATGCCAAAATTAAGTTTCTGCTAATGAAAATCCAGATGGGCAGACTGACACAGAAAAATTACAGACACATGGTACATAGTAGAATAAGTTTTTGTCTTTTCACAATCAATAGGCAAGATGTTGTTAGCAGTACTAAGAGCATAGTCAAAGGTCTATCACACCACGTGGTTGAAGTCTGAGCCAAGCTTTGCTGTCAGCTAGCAGAGCACCAAGCCTGTTGCTGAACCGTGTTTTATTCCTTAGTCATAAGTCAGGGTAAGAGACTAGAAATGGTGCGGATAACAGCTACTAGCACACCGTACTGTATAAGCAAACAAGACAGCTGCTGGTTAGTAACTGGAGGAGGAACTGCTTAGAAAAGTCAGAGCAAGAGTGAGTGAGTGTGTGTGTGTGTTTGTGTGTGTGTGTGTGTGTGTGTGTGTGTGTGTGTGAGAGAGAGAGAGAGAGAGAGAGAGAGAGAGAGAGAGAGAGAGAGAGCTTAAAATAAGCTTTAAAGATATGTGATTGTTTTGTTTTGTTTTTTTGAGACAGGGATTCTATGTGTTGCTTTGGAGTCTGTCCTGGAACTAGCTCTTGTAGACCAGACTGGCCTCAAACTCAGAGATTTGCCTGCCTCTGCCTCTCTGGGGCTGGGATTCATCAGTCCTACCTTTAACATACTTGTTTTATTCCAAAGCACTAGTTGTTGTTGTTGTTGTTTTGATGGTGGTGGTGGTGGTGGTGGTGGTGGTGGTGGTGGTGGTGGTGGTGGTGTGTGTTAGAGAGAAAAAATAAGATGACGCCAAAATTCAAACTCTGAGTCAGGTATACAGTGAGCCTCAGGAGGCCAAGACAGTTTCTGAAAACAGTAAAGAAATGTAGCTTGTTAGGTCAAAGAACCATGATTTCTAATCTAACCTCAGAAAGTGTGAAAGTAGCACCATATACTCAGTGAGGCTGGAAGTTTAACTCCAGGTTCACCACTGCCCTCCAGTGAGGAAAGTCTGGGTTTCATCCCCACTACTGCCCCCCAAAAGTTACCATTTGGGAAGCAAATGTTTTTCATCTCTGAAACTCTAGTGAAGAACTGTATCTCAGACTATTAATGAGGTCAATGGCTTATACAAGAAGTATGAGGTTTAATTTGATAAGTTAGAACTCTATAAACATTACTTTTAAAATATAATTCTTTAAAGGTCCATGAAAAAATTATTTTCATACAAGTAAGAATATTAATTTGGCTAAAAATGTAAAATACTTCTTTTTTCCGAGAAAGGGTCTTATGTAGTCGAGGCAAGCCAAGAACACACTAGGAAGCCCAGGCTGGCCCTGAACTCATGATCCCTCTGCCTTCACCTCCCAAGAACTGGCAGTACCGGCAAGTGCCACCACACACAGCTAAAAAGGTAAGGATGGGGAATCATTCCCCATTTCATTCTAGCAGGTGTCTGTTTAAATTCCTCAGAAAATGTCTTTGTGCCTGTTTAAAACTTCTCAAAGAAAGTTTTTCTACTTAAAATTATTTGAACCACAAAAATGTAAAAAAAAAATGTATTTTTTGCAAAAAATCGAATGCACACAGGTCATAAAATAATTCTCACAGGAACTCAGTCCATTTAAATATGAGAATAAAATAAAACTTTCCACATTTAAGCGTGGTAAATAGCCCCAAGTCCTGCAAAACCCATAAGACTGAACCCAGGCATGTCACAGTTCTATCTCCAACAAGTCGTTGAGACTTTTATGAGTGTTTGTGCTTCTGTATTATTTTTGTGGTACCTTCAACCACAGTTACCCAGACTGGATGAAATTCCGTCAGCCATCTAGAACTCGCCTCTTTTCATGGCAGCTTTCATCAAAATCGTTTTGCCTTGTCTTACTGATTCCATCTTACCTCTACTCTCCAGGTCCTCTCCCTGAAGACAGTGATCCAGATTGATTTACAGACCCCACAGGCTACCCATGCACCTTCACTGAGATCTGCCATCCCTGTCATATACACTCCTTATTCAAATAGTCTAACACTCTCTTGAAGTCACCAAACCCCAGAGTCAATTGCTATGGCCTAAAATACAAGTCACCAAATATTTACAGTGGCCTGCAGAAGACAATTTGGACTCTGAAGGCCATATAGACTCTATCAAAAAATTAATATGTGCCAGGCTGGTACAAAAGCAGTCACAAATGAGCTAAGAAAGTGTAGGTCCCTGAGTTACAGAACAATGATTGGCCACACAATACCCACTCATGGATACCTGTCTTTTAAAATAAAATCCACATGGATCAGGCTCACACAAATAATCTCCAGGTACTACCCTATTCGGAACTTAATCTCAGTTCTTGCATGTAGATTCAAGTGTGTCTTCATAATGAGCATCTACTTAACATGTATTTTCTACCTAAAATACATGTTTTGCTTTCAAGGCCCATTTCCAACGTCAGCTCTTCCAGATACCAACATGGCAGGAAAATATCATTTATTTCCAGTTATCTCTCACTATCCTTTCCTTCTCCTTACCCATCCAAACATCCATTTTATTCTATTTATTCATCAAGAAAGCCTCCCTTATACCAGTCTTCATCTTCTCCTTTATAAGCTGAACTCAGGACTTTATCATCTATACAGGCCTGTAGGCGCTTGAAGATAAACAACTAGGTGACTCAACCAATAAATGGATTACATCGTATCTAAACAGGATATAAAGGCTATAGGGTAGCCTAGAAGAAAAGCCACAGAAGTCTCCTGTAACTTATACCATTCCTCCCTAACCCAATATTTTACTGATCATCACATGCATAGAATTAAACAGAAATTACAGTCATTGGGACCAGTAACTCTAACATTGGGACCACTAACTCTAACATTGGGACCACTAACTCTAAGTTATCGGCTGAAATAAAAACTAACAAAATGAAACAGATGCAGGCCCACACCTGAAAACTATGTCTTAGGTCTCCACCCTCAGACACATCTTGGTATTTCCAGAGACAGACCCCAATGCAACACTATGAAGCCTTCAGTACCTGCAGCACACAAAGATAAAGACACACACACACAGCCACAGCTATCATATATAGCAAACATCTGCAATCACATGCTGACAAAGCCTCTGGAGATCATGTACTTCTGTGTGTCCATGACTATACTCACTAAAACCAGTGAGTATCCAAAAGAACACACAGACAGTGTGAAAACCAAAAACACACCCATTTCCTATTTAACTTTATTTTTTTTAGCACATTTGCACCAATGAACTGACCACAGTTAACTAAGTTTAAAGAGACAGCTAACAATTTCAGCCTTTCTCAGAAAAAATAAAGAGTTAGACTTAGTACAGAAACAAGGATCCACAGTGGTGTGTTTCGATTCCTTCTTACTAAGAAAATGAAACCTGACCATCACTAATAACAAGCCCTTCATGTCTGCACAAGCTGTCACTACTGCCAGGGAGGAGGCGTCATCAACTAAACCTTTTTTTTTTTTTATGTAAAACTACAGGTATTGCTTTTAAAGCTTTGCTCTCAGGAATATCAAGCCAGTCCACTGACACATGGCTGACCCTGACTGTACCTAGAGGCACCGGGCCTTCCTTACTCTTGTCTTTTCTACCAAGTTGAGTCTTCAATACAATGGAACTGAACCACACTGACCTGCCCCAGGACACCGGTGTCTCATAACGCCCCCCTTCTCTCTGTCAGGAACAGATGCTCCCATACTGCCAACTTTCCAAGACTAAATCTTACAAGTACGGAAGAAAGGAGGCTGGAAAGAGAAGCATAGGGAAAACCAGGTTCCTCAAATTCAGGGGCTCAGGAACCTAAAAATCAGATTACTTTCAATGAGGTTGCTTATTTGCAGATTATCTACTGCAAATCGAAATCCAAATTTGCTTATGGTCAGGTTCAAGCTTGGTGATGTGAGTACAAGAAATAATGTATTCAGCATTTAATCTAGATATTCTATAATGTGTATATATGTATATACACACATACACACACACACACCCACATGACAATACTAGATGATGTAGAAAACTTCACAGTGCACAAGCCATAATATGCCTTCCATATCACAATTCATCTTGCAATAAAAGGTACAAACAAGAAAGCAAAGCTCCTGCTTGGAAGACCTCAAATTCTAAGCATGGAAGTTTTAAGTGTGGCACTGGAGTGTCATTATTTCTACTTCTATGTCAAAGCTTATGCCATCCTCACATGTTTTGCTAAAGAACCACCACCATTATTTTTATCTGTAAATAATGTGTACTGAAAAAAAAAAGACTTAAGATGACTTTCCTATACCTATGAGGTAAACACAACAGGATTTAAAATGAATGATCAGTACCAACACTGTAACAATAGGAAGACACAAAGAGGTTATGTAAATGGCGCAACTTGGTGTTTTTAAGATACATAAGAAGTTTAGGAAAAAGTATACGTATTTCAAACTAATTAGAAGAATATGGCACTATTCAAATGGTATTTGGGGGCTGTGGGATGGCTCAATGGCAAAATGCATGCTTAGGATGTGTATTCCTTTGGATTTCAGCGCAAGTTCAAAAGTAAATAAATGCAAAGAAATTAATGCCTGAAAGGGTCTTTGTTCTTGACAGCACAGGGTCTCTTATCTATCTTGTATTTGTAACTTTACAAGATACTTCGGTTCATAGTTAAACAGCATCCATTTGGTTGTCTCCCTCAGTTGTGTACTTAAGTATGATCTCTATCACACTCTTAACTCAAGATTAAAATGAATTTCACAAAAACGTTAAACTACGCCTTTCTTTCTCATTAGTTCTTATTAGAATTCATCGCCTTTAATATAAGATTGGCCCAGCTTGTTATTTGTTCATGCATAATAAATTTATTTTTCATAGAAAAAAGTTCCTGTTAATGAAAAAATTGAGCATAAAACAATCTTGCCTTTTAAGTTGGAGCTTAAAAACAGAGGTTGCTTATTAGAGAAACCAGTTATAACTGAGAAAAATATACTTATTACAATAATGATTCTTTGTCAGTAAAATAATTCAACATTTAAACTTCAGTTACAAATTCCATCTTTCAAAGTAGTACAATACTGATTGCAAAATGCATAGGATACATAGGATAATTCTCTTACCATTCAGTAAACAAGATAACCATATCCTCCTGACTGGCATACTGCGCCATGGCTTCTTTCATTAATCTCACCTTCTGGCCCCCTCCAATACTATTAATCCCATCGCCACCTCTCCACTCTTGCCCTTGACCAAGAACCTATGAATGAAATAAAAAAAATTCATCCTGAGGAAAATGCCAATGGTTACAATAGCATAAAAATGTCAAAAGAAACATGGATAGTAACCAACTATTTATTTATAATAAAAGCACAATGCTAGAGAAAAGAAAACTAACACATAAGCAGGTCATAATTCTTCAATACCACCCACTTCAAAAGCTGACTCTAACCCATAGAAGTGGAATCTGAAAGTATTTCTCATTTTCTCTTATTCTTGTTTTTCAAACTTAAATGAAGAACCTTCTAGCAAGTCCCAATATTGAAAGATAAATCATACCTTCACAGTATAATTGAAATACTTGGCTGAATTCATAAATCGGTGGAATCCATCATTTTCTTTTGTTGCTACAGTTATCACTAGTAGTTTATCTACAAAAAATAAAAAACAAAGATTCAACAAGAAGTTAAATGCTATCACCACTCCATGCTATACTATAGTGATTACAAACTTCATCATTTCATGGGGATGCTTTTGATTAGTTAATTTAGATAAAACTAAACAAGGAATTACTGAAATAAAGGCATTTCGGGTGAGTTATCCAATGAGGAAGCCATGTAGTAAGAAATTATTTTAACAGCAAATAAAGTTCTTTAGTGGCTCAGCGAAAACGGCTTCTGAAGTGAGATTTCAAACGCAAGAGAAAAGCTTTCATAAAATGCCTATTTTACTCGTAAGGGTTAAACCTTTGTGGCTCTCACTTCATCAGCCAGCTTAACCTGTAAACCATGCCAGATCTGAGGCATATTACATGACCTCCTAGTGAGCTCTATCTACTCACCAGCGGCAATCATTGGCCTAACTGCAAGTCTAATTTTTAGCCTCTAAAATAAACGCAACAAATTGAAAGCAGATTTCAGAAAAAGTCTTACTTCTCCTTCTACTCATAAAATCTTGTACTAGAAATCTTAAAAGTCATTACATTTGTATCCTTTATGTGTTGCTTAGTTTATTAAACAGTAATTGGAACAAAAATTAGCAATGCTAACAATGTCATTAGTAAATATGCACCTTTTAGTGGCTTTTTATAGTGGTTTTTCCTTTCGTTCAGTCTAGTATCTCTTCTTAATAGAGGCAGGCAGACTAAGGATTTATTGACAAATATCTATAAAAGCTATTGTAGACAGATGGACAATATTTATCATGCAAAAGGATGTTGGAAAATTCATAAAAGACTCATCCTTTCCAGCAAGAACTAAAGAGTGGGAGCATTTCTGTTTCCAGAATTACGAGCAGTCATGGACTAAAACAGCCAAACTAACATCTCAACATTATAAGCACCAAGTTGTCCCTCTTAGTTCTCTGTTGCATAGAGATACAAGAAAACTGAAAAGGTCCTGCATGACCTCTAAACCATACACAATCTTTAGTCATAGGATTTATGAAACACAGGAATCAGTTAATAAACTAAGGTAATTCTGCATCTCAAGTTTTAAAAATAACTTACTATAGAAAATCAGTATAATGTAGGTAAAATAAACTCATTATTCAAAACAAAAGGAAAAACATTTTCATTAAGACAAGTAATGCATTTTTAGATTTCTGTTAAAAAAGAAGTGTATCTTACAAAATTTTTGGTTTAATAAATAAATGTTACAAATAAAAATAAAGTCATCTAGTAATTAATGGCGTGAGGATCTGAGTACGGCAGCTTGGATGAGAATGGCCACCACAGGCTCATGTGTATTTGAGTGCTTTGTCACCAGGCAGGGAACAGTTGGGGAAAGATTCGGATCTATAGCCTTGATGGAGAAGGTGTTACTGAGGTGGGCTTTGAAGTTTCAAAAGCCCCTTCCAAGTCCAACATCTGCCTTTGTCTCTCTGTCTCTGTCAGTCTGTCTGCTCCCCCCGCCCCAGCCCCATCATCTCTCCCTGGTACCTGAATACCAGGTTGTAAAGCTCTCAGCTGCTGCTCCAGCTCCATGCCTTTCTGCTTCCCACCATGATGATCACGGACTATCTAAAACTGTGAGTGAGTCCCTAATTAAATGCTTTCTTTTGAAGATTTGCCTTCACCATGATTCTTCCCAGCAACAGAACAGTAACTAAGATACTGAATAAAGGTATCCTAAAGATATTTTTGTACTATTTTTAGAGAACAAAATTTTCCAGGGTTGGAGAGATGGGTAAGTGTGACCTCCTGAGCTGGCTCTCTAGAATCCAAGGAAGGCTGAGTGCAGCAGCAGTACAAGGGTCTGTAATGCCAGCATACTCTACAGGGGGGACACAAGGCCCAGACAAGAGAATCTGCAGAAGCTCTCGGCCAGCAGGCCATATGCAGTGGCATCCAGTCTTTGTGTTAAAGATCTATTTTATTTGCTTTCTGTGTATGGGCGCTCTATCTGCATGTGTGTATATACCACAGGTGTGCCTGCTACCTACCAAGGACAGAGAAGAAGATTTAGGATCCCCTAAAACTGGAGTTACAGATAGTTGAAACCTGCTGTGTGGATGCTGGAAATAGACAAGTTCTCTGTAAGAGCAGCCAGTGCTCTTAACTACTGAGCCATCTTTCTAGCCCAAGACCCAGATTTAAAAAAGTAGAAGGGTGAGGAAGAACACCCCAAGGTTTCCCTCTGACTTCCACACTGGAACTCTGTGATATGACTGCTTTGACATGAACACAGGCATTAACAATATATTCATACATATAAACACATAAACTAAATAAATATGAGTAAGTTTCACTTTTAATATTTAAAACATGGCTTCGCTGATTAATAATTTGGCAGGTCACCATTCGCAGTTCATGCTACAACAGAGCACCAGATCTTAGGAAGACGAAGAGAATACTTTATAAGGGCCTCTTTTTCTGTAATGATTTTAAACCATTTTTCTACATAAATCAAAAACTACTACAAGTTCGGAGATTTGACTGAATAGATCGTTACATTTACCATTACTAGCATAAATTAATAACAAGAATTTTATCATCTTAATAGGACTCATAATTCAATGTGACCATTAGGAAGATAAAAATGACAGCGAGCTCAATAAAAAATTCACAAGTGACACTATCATTCATATGACAAATAAAGACCCTTATTGCTCCTGTGCTGTTGCTAATAGCCAATGCACAATGACCACAACTGCTGTAAAGGCAGGTGTGTTCTACTCTCACCCACAGAGAGCTGCCTTCTCACCTGCATTTCAGCATCACTAGTAAGAGAAATGAACCTAAGTAATTAATATTAGAGAAAGGCAAACAAAGTGCTGGTGTGAACCACTCAAAAACTTTCAACACCCAGTTCAAGAACTCAACATAAAGCTGGGCAGCGCTGGCGCACGCCTTTAGTTCCAGCACTCGGGAAGCAGAGGCAGGCGGATCTCTGTGAGTTCGAGGCCAGCCTGGTCTACAATGTGAGTTCCAGGATAGCCAGGGCTGTTACACCAGTTGCACAGAGAAACCCGGTCTCAAAAAAAAATCAACCAACCAAACAAACAAACAAAAAGAACTCAGTATAAGGGCAAGAGAGACGACTCGGCAATCAAGAGAGCACATACGGTTTTCGTACTCCCCTGCTCTCTTCCAACAATCTCCAGAAACTGCACTTACAAATTTATTAGAACAGAAAACTTATGTTCAAATTCTTTCCAACTAGATGGTATTCCAAAAGTCAAGATGTCCTCAACCATTAACTAGACCACCAGGTTTTCTACAGCACTAAGTAGTCAGTGGATTAATAAACATTTTAAATTTATTATCAATTGATACATAAAATTGCACATATAATGGAGCACAAAAAATTTTCAAACATGTATATATTCCATGTACAAACATTTTGACTAAGTGGATTCAGGGACAAATAATTTTATATATCACATGCATATGTGTACATAATCATTTTTTACAAACACAGCATTATCTGGCATTCACAGGTATGGAGAATAGATTTAAATAGGCTAATTGACTTCACTAGTGTCACCAAACAAGCTATTTGCAGAGCAAGTAGGAGAACGTCGGAGTCAATCTGTACAGTCCGCCTGTTCCCACTCTTTCAGGTGGTCTCATCTGGAAAAGGCTCAAAGATCAGAAAGCAAACTTTGGAATGTTGTCTGTGCAGAGAAGGAATGCAAGCCTGGGCTGTCCCTCTTGAGAAAGGACTGCTTGGAGGGCTGGTCCTCGGTGGTGTTTGGAAAGTGGGAGCCCAGGCACTGTCTACAATATTTACAAGGGGAAAACCCTATTCTGAAGCACTGCTCACTGTACCTAAGTTGCCCATGTTGTGATTTTTGTTGACCATCTGGTTGTTTTGCTAGGTTTTATAATTATGGTAAGAAGCTTGAGAATGTCAGTCACAGGCTGTGCTACTCAGGTTACCAACATCTCACACATGCTGGCTGCTAGGAACCCTGTCTTGTCTGACTTCACCAGGAAAGACTTGAGGCCCTCCATGTGGCTCTCCAGAGATCTCCAAGAGCTGCATTTGCTTAGTAACAGCCCGATAGACTCGGAAGTGCGAGGATAACCAGTGCTGAATCCTCAGTCTTCTGGTGCATCCCTGAGAGCTAGGTGTAGCGGGGGCCTGATACCCTCAAGAATGCCAACTGGTTAGTTATATGATTGTCCATCATTTCAAGACTCAGAATTCAGAGAAGACCGCAAATAGATGCCAGGCCCAGAAGTCATGCAGAAGGCAAGCATGCCCTAGTCACCCACACTCACTGCCTCCCAGAGCAGTTACTATCTCAGGGACAGAATAACCAAGTCACTTCTTATAAACAAAAGAAAAAAGAGGTAGTCTAAAGAGAAAGTAAGGATCCTGCAGCTACCAGTTTAATAGTAATTTTGGGATACAAGTTACAAAACAAAACAAAAAAAATAAGGTTTTTGGTGGGGCTGGAGACATGACCCAGTGGTTAAGATAACTGCTGATAATGCCCTTTTCTGGCCCCAGTGAGCACTTGCACACATGGCATACACCCACAGAAAAACATACATAGAAAAAAATAAATCTTAAAACCTCTTTTCCTAGGTCTTACAGTAGCATTTCGTTGCTAAGTACTGAGCCACACAAACAATCTAACAAACTGAAGGCACTGCAGTGTAGGTGGCTAGGGAGGTACTTTTATTTTTTGAAACTGTGAAACTTTTCAGGATAAAAGGGCCTCAAGAGCAATTCCTAACATAAGTTCAAAAGGACAATGGGAGACAAGAGCATGTCTGCGCTTCCACTCAGCTGCAAGATGGAAAGATAAAGAGTGTACGGGGAGGGAAATGGGAGGCGGCGGTGGGGAAGAGATAGAAATCTTTAATAAATAAATAAATAAATAGGAAAAAAAACAAAGTAAAAAAAAAAAGAGTGTACGGAGAGAAGGGAGAGTAGTCGGAATAGGTGGCGCCTGTCACCCATCTCTTTCTCAACAACCT